GGGGACCCAGAGCTGAGTTTGAAAGCAAAGCAGAGTGACGTCTGGTGAAAATGATTTTAAACCTGCGCTGTAACAAAGTAGCTGCCACACTGAAACTTGACTGAACACTAATATTTACGTCTTTAAATCCGATTATCTTTTATCATTCTGATGAGTTTGTAGCCGTAACAAACACAGCAGCTTCCAGTGCACGTCACTACATTACAGTTTTATAGTTGGACCTGCAGTGATGTCTCGAGAAGAAAAAGGTGACGTGGACCCCCTGACCCCCCCGTATATACGCCCATGCTTGCACTGACATGGCAGCGCAAATCTGGGGTGGCACCAGAGGTGGCCAATCAGATATCAGTAGAGGGGGTGCCATCCCAGGACACCATGTTTATATTTAAAAACATGTCAAACATCCCTAAACACTGACAGCATGTCCACAGCCTTTCAGAGACGTTCTCCATCCGTCTCCACCTCCTCCACCTCCTCCTCCATCGGCCTTTTACAAACTGTTTCTAACTCCTCTTCCTCTGCTCATCTCCCCTCTTTGCCTGCTCGCTGCCCTCCAGCTCGGTTACACATTGACTGCTTCCTCTGTGTGTGTGTGTGTGTGTGTGTGTGTGTGTGTGTGTGTGTGTGTGTGTGTGTGTGTGTGTGTGGAGTTTAGACCCGGCGTGATAAAGTGTTGAGATAGCATCGACGGTGTGTCGGCTCCACTGTACAGCATACCGCAGCCGGCAGGCAGAGCGGGGGAGGGGAGCGTCTCAGCCAACCACCGAGCACGCTCACAGTGGAAAATGTCTGCAGCTCTCAGCCAATCAGGAAGCAGATTCCTCAACACATCCATCCTCCCGTGTGTGTGTGTGTGCGCTGCCCCATCTTTCCCCTCCTACCAAACACTTCACCCTCTGATGTTTCACTATAAAGATCTTTAACAAATTAAAAAAAACAAAACAAAATTAAATTTGTTTCTAATGTAATATTTAGTGTTTTACTTTGTGTCATTATTATCGTCACGCTTCAAAACCTTTGAAAGCTGTCAAAGATTTAATTTTAAAAAGAATAACTGTAATATTATGGTAATTAAACTTTAAATGTTAAGAAAATAATCTTTTTTAACTAAGTATAATAATACTTTCATAGTTATTGGAAAATAAATGTTTTTGTGTATTAAAACAACATCATTAATTAAATAAAAACACATTTTAGTAAGAATTTATTACTAAAACTCCTGCTATAAATTTTAAAAGTGATTTCTTAAAAAATGTGTGAAGTTACTTTTACAGTTTCTGTTTTTATTCCCTTTTAGACTTGAAGTAAATGCATGTCCTTCATACATGTTTTAAAAGAACAAAACAACAGATGTAACTGACATGCTTAATTATATATATTTATTTAATATAATCGTTTTTAAAGTACTCGAATCACTTTCATTTTCATGTTTTTATTCTTTTCTGACTGATGCTTCAATTAAAAACTTTCTCAGTGCCACTTCACAACAACAACAACAACAACCAGGTGATGACCCCGTACGAGCAGCACTGTGTGACAGTGGGGAGGAAAAAACCTCCAGCAGAACCAGGCTCAGGGAGGGCGGGGCTATCTGCCCAAACACCAATCACACTGACAGTATCTTATCATGTAATTTCAACTCAGTTTGTTTCCTTTGATGTTTATTTATTGAGTTTTATTTGTGGTTCTACTGTTTGTTTGTAAAGCCTGGTTCTCATCGCTGTCACAGACATTAAAGGAGCTTCAGGAGCTCGTAGGTTCATAATAAAGTGGTGAAACCAGGCTGGACACAGAGAGAAGACTGAAGAGGCGTTTATGAAAACGTCCAACCTTCCGTCTCCTCGGAAAGCCGGAAAACTCGCTGAAACATTTCCAGGAGCAAACACATCTGGAATCAGGTCTGAGTGCGAAAATGCAAAGCGCTGACAGGGACAGAGACGGCCAAACGCCATGCAAGCTGAAGCAGAAGCCACTGAAACAAAGATGGCGGACTGTGCCACGAGAAACAGGAAGAAACGTTCATTCCCAGAGCTACCAAAGAGGCGGAGCCTGGAAGCGTTTACAGGTGAGCGTTTAACTTCAGGTGGATGAAAGATGGCGAAACAATGAGGAGGAGGAGGAGGAAGGAGGGGAAGGAGGTGAAGGTGGCGGTGGGATGAAGATGAGAAAGGAGGGAGGAGCATATTTACCCGTCTTTTTCGTAAAGCAACGCTCGCTCGAATCTGTCTCGGGGCGGGAGGGGGCGGGGTTTGTTGTGTGTGTGTCTGCAACCACTGCTCACACTGCAGGGAGGAGAGCACAGAGAGACCATCAGTAACACAAACACACGTTTACACACAAATACAGAAACAACAACAGGCAGACAAACTTGTAAAAAACAAACACCAAGTTTGGATGCACCAGCGTGAACGTCTGGACTCGATGTGTTCCACAATAACACAAATATTCCCCTTTTCACCAGTGCAGCTACACTGCATTCACTTCTATTATCATTGGATGGTTTTCTGTTTAAAGCTGTAAAACTACGTCTGCAGCAGCTCACAAGCTGCAGTTTGTAGAAACACTGGTTTTATTTGAAGTGTCCACCCTGAGGAAGGCCTTCATCCACACCCACAGTGGGCTGTGTCATTACTGTAATTAGTGTTTTCATTTATCAGCTTTTCACTGTTTAACGTTTTACCGTAAATACTGGAATACAGCAGAGTGCTCACTTAGCATGCTCACATTTTATTAGGCTTTTGTACTGAGCGTACACGGCTCCTGTTGCCGTGACGATAATCACAGATTTCACTACAATAGAAACAGAACTACATCTATTCCCTCGATCATACTGCTGCGGTTTACATCGGGGAATATACATTCTGGCCGAGCTCGATTGCGCCCCCTGTGGAAGAAGAAACAGCCCCCTGATTTCACCCAAACAATTTAAACAGTGAAAATGTATCCGCCCACAGCGAGCGTTTCCACGGACACGCGCCCTGTTTTACTGTTTCGAGACTGTAAACGCTCGTGTCCACATAAACAAAGTAAACGATGCAGAAACAACACACAGAGCTGCAGGGACGCAGAGGTGAGCGGGCTCAGAGTCTGAGTCACACTCGTCATTGCACCGCCTCTGACACACACACACACACACACACACACACACACACACACACACACACGCACACACCTTCAGGTCCAGCATTACAAATAAAAAGCGAGTACAGAGGTCAGTGTGCTGCATTATGTGCTGATACAATCACGGCTGCCAGATAACACAAAACACAAACTGAACTGTGGAGGCGCCATCAAGGCCTAGAGTGGCCCGGTGCATTATGGGTAACAGAAAGATACCTGCTGATATCTGCCCGCAGCAGTGACGTTTGTCAGGACATTTTATTTTTTATTTACAGCTTCAGAAATAAAAAAGTGCAGAAGAAGAAACCCAAAGGCGATGTGGAAACAGAGGCTTAACTGAGCCGCCCAAAGACGCTAATCTGTCAGACAGGGCGAAGTGAGGCTACGGTAAGGGAGGGCGAGACAAAAAAAAGACAAAAGATATGCTGGAAAGGAGGAAAGATGGAGGGATAAGAGGGATGCAACAGGCTGCACAGCTCAGGGACGTATTTACGGATGGAGGGATGATGGAAGGGGGCAGGAGACAGAGAGAGAGAGATTAAGAGCTTAACAGCGTTGGTAAGACCAATTAGGAGGCAGCTGAGACTGGAGGTGAGGAGGATGAGGGAGGATAGAAAACGTCTGCACCCGCATCACCGACAGAGAAGTCTGCGTTTACAGGAAGACGAGGAAGGCGAGGATGCAGAGAGCTAAATACATGTAGAACTAAATATCAGTACAAGATGTCCAAAAATATTTGTTAATGTTAAAGCATCAGTGCTGTGAGCCAAGAATCACTTTGAAACCACGAAAATATGAACAACAGAGATATTCTGAGTGTGGATTTATTCAGTTTTAGAAAAATAAGTCTGTAACAGACGACTTCCTGAGCCAGCAACGAGCCAAGAATGGTTTTGAAACCAAGGAAAGGTGAAAAATGTGATTATTCACAGGCTGTCCTGTGTGAAGGCTTTGAAAAATAAAGCCGAATTCACCTTTAGCACATCCTGCATCCTGCAAAAGTCATCTCACGTTAATCAGAGAGAGCTGCACGTGTAGGAAGTCCGACCCCGGGCCCATTTTTGTGTGCATGTCTATTTTTTCTTCCACAACACAGAAGCAACAGACAGAAAGGATTAAAGAAAACAAGCATTTCTCTAGCTGCTCACTTTAAAATCAAGCTATCGTGAGCTTCACAAACAGGTTTTCTATCTGCTGCTGAGGGCCTGTCGTCAGTGTTAATGGGCTGAGTATTGTTGCAGATAAAGGAGGTGTAAGCTGATACAGGGAGGTGCCACGGCTCCCACCTAAACTAGGATTTATCACCGTGTTCCCCCACCACCACACAAAGCCCCCGCTAAGCCAGCAGCTAATGAGCTAGCCCCACTAACTCACTTTAGCTTTGTTCTGCTGCAGACACAGCCTGCTGCATTGTTTCTAGCTTTGCAGCACTAAACGGCTCCGCGTGGCTTAAAACTGGAAACCAGAGCTGCCAGCACTGTTAATACCAGCAGGGTCAAAACTTTAGGTTAATAAATATAAAGCACATAACGACTATGAAACGATACACAGGCCCTGATGTGAGCGAGATGCTAGCATCAAGGCAGAAGCTAATCTTCTAAGACAACTCTTTCATACTTTGAAACTTGCCTTTGTATCCTTTTAAAACAAAACACAAGCTCCTAATGATTCATTAACACCCACATTAACTGTACATGCTAGCATCATGCTACATGCTAACAGCAGACAGTTTTCATCATTGAACTATAAAACTGAAATGTAGTGACGTGCACTGGAAGCTAAGCTAAAGAGATCTTAGATTATACACGATTTAACTTTAACCCATGCTAGCCAAAGTTTCTGTTTTTATCTTGTTAGCATCATAAGTAAGATGAATAAACTAAAGGTTAATGTGGTTTTATAGACAAAGTCAAAGTGACATCTTTGTTTTAATGATTACTAATAATAACAATAATTTAAAAAATATCTTTGAAATAAAATACATGATATAAATAAACTACATGCTACTGTGCTAACATGTTAAAGTGCAACAGATGATGCAGTTATGTTAAACAAAGGCGATGTAACGAATTAACAACATTAATGATAGTATTTTTATAAAGCCAAACAGGCACAGGACTACAGAGTAGCATTAGCATCTCGTACTCAGTGTCAGAGATACTTCACATGAACCTCATGCTAGCATGTTTAAATTTGCTTTTTACCTTTACGTAAAAATGAGTCATTAGCGTAAACTGAAGTGACACGTAGCTTTTACATCACGCTAAAAGAGGAAATATGATCTTTTCGCAATATATAAATACAGTGCACCACAATAGCATTTTTTATGTTAGCATTAACAGCTAGCATGTAAACTTCGGAGATTGCCATGTTGATGACGCCGATTCTTTTAATAAAGTCTAAATATAAATTGTGAAATTAGCTTCATTTTCAGGTTAGCATTAAGCCTTTGCACTGCTTGGATTTTGATTCGTCAACAGTCATCCATCCATCTTCCAGTTGTGTTTTATGTTTTAGCAGAACTTAACCAATCCAGGGTCTGCAAACAGCATCATGTGATTTTCCTAAAAGTAACAAACTGCCTCCAATTACTCAGCAAGTCTGCATTGAAAATAATCAAGTTAAAGCTGATCAATCAGAGCTTAAAGTGGCCCATCAGGCCACGGCACCGGCGTGTTCTGGTTAGAGCGCGTCACAGAGTAACTGGGTTGACTGGGAACAGAATGTGAGCCGTGACAAACGCACAAACACCCGAGGAGGAGCTTGGTGATGATGCTTTTAACTGTGTGCGAGCAGGCCAGCGGCAGAGCGGGGCCCTGTAATACACTCTGATGGTAAAAATAACTCGCCGAGCGGGACGAGGAATGCGTGCGCTGAAGAATGCCGCTCTGCTGACGGGTGACAGGCATGGACAAGTGCAGAGGGAGGCGAGAGAGGAGGAGAAACACCTGAGAGGCAGAAACCTGTACGAGTTCTCGAGAAAAGGAGGATTAGATAAGAGTGAGAGTGCAGTTAGACGAGAGTCACCGTCAGCCTTTGTGCACGTTTGGGAAAATTAAGCAGAATTTGCTGTTGGCACTTCCTGTTTCAACGAGCTAAAAACTGAATAAATGTGAAGCTAACGTAGAAACGTGACTATTGTCAGGCAGCTTCTGCTGAGACACGTCTCTGCTCCTGCGTCCCCGTAAACCTTTCTGACCTCATGTGTCTGTCCTCACATTTATCTCTTGGAGTTGGTTTTGTGTCATCTTTTGTTTTTAGCGGTTTATGTCTCAGTTGTGTTGTTTTCAGCCTGTAACGTATCCGTTCGGCATCCTGTGTCACGTCTTTGCTGTTATCGTTGAACGCCGGAGGTTCGCTCGTGTTTACTCTGCTGGAAACACGTTCGGTCTGCTGCTGTTTGCTTTGGGACGATGTCCTCGGGTGTCACTCGGGCCTCTGAACGAAGAAACGGGGCGTTTCGTTGAACTATTTCATAACCTGCGCTCGTGTGGCGGGGATGGAGCGGGTCGAGAGAGAGAGAGAGGATCCACAGGGTGTGGAGGAGAAAACAGGAAGTGAGAAAAGAAGAAGAAGAACCCGAGAAAGAAGCGAGCGCCTGAGACAGAGAATCCAGTCAGACCAGACGAGCCGCTGCTCATCCCGCACGGACGCTGTAAACTTTGCTGCGCCCTGATTGGCCGGTGGCCCGCCACCCTCCGCGTAACCTGACGACGGATAGGCTCCCGCTGCCGCCTCAACCTCCACCCTCCTCTCTCCCTCCCTGCATCCTTATCTCCTCGGATGAGTCAGTGCACGCGGTTACTGGTTAACTCTGAGCTTCAACATGTCTGACTGAGAGTGTGATGGAAGCAGCGCTCCAACCGCAGCGTGCGCCGGCGTCTGCCCGTCATGACGCTGCAGTATTACTTCCTGTATCCGAGTGAGAGAAGGCATCAGCTGACTGCTGATGAGGAGTATGAGAGAACGCACGGAGCATCTTTCTCAGCCGGCTGCGATTGTGCGCGAGGAGACGGGCTGTAAATGCGCCGCCGCCCGGCCTCCCACACATACACCAACACAATAAAACACGCCTCGTTTCAAACGCTCGTCTTTGGTGCTCTTCTTCTTTCCCTGTTTCACGGCTGATCGTTGTAGGTTTACGGCCCAGAAGTTTCTTCAC